CCTCGAGACTTTACATGTTCCGCCGACTCTGCGCGTCGTCATCCTCAGACCCTTGGGATCACGCGCGGCTTTCTTTGACGGCCGTAAGGACGTACAACCGTTTTTTACGGACGGTCTCGAGCGCCTTACTGTACGGCTCGATTCATTTCCAGGCGCGCTGGAGCGAGCATTTGCGTCCACCGCCTTGCGTACTTGGGCTGAGGAACGGAAGGAAACGCGGTTGTACGTCACCTTCGACGCGGATTCCGTATTCGACATCGACAATGACACTCATTGGTTGCGCGAGTGAGCTAGTCTGATATCTTTGCGCTCCGCTCGAATCCAATACATGGGTTCACTGGCCCGGTTGTCGGTCATCGTACTCCGTCTAGGACATGCCCGTATGTGTCATGGTATCACCTCATCTTTGTCCCACCCGAGCTGCCTGTTGCGACGTGTCTACAATGCGACGTAAAGTAGCAGTGATGTGCCTTCAATTTCACTGCATTCTCGTGAGACGCAGCACATGACCGCTCGAGCGTTGATATCACAACATCCTTTTGACATCCCTACGTGCCTCTCACCTACACGGTTTTGTAATGGAGACCGTCACGGAGGCCTGCATCGGTACTGAAGGAGCATGACTTTGTCGGCTCTCGCAGAGGGCTGAAAGCAGGACGCGGGCTTGAGGGAGCGACGGATGAGAAGGCGTCATCCTTGGCAAAGAGGGTCCCGAATGCCGCAAGAGGTCTGCATTCTGATCAACTGGATGAAGGGATTCGAAGTATAATCGTAAAATCATATTTGGACCGAAGCCAGATTGAGAGTTGCATTCGTGTAACGCCTGCGTTGCTTATCGCACCCGCACGGATGCTGTCCGGGTCTTCGATGCTGTGCTCCGGTCTCCGGAAATTGACCCCGTGTGCACGGTTGGTCTCGAACATCCACCATGGTGAGTCGACTTCGAGCACACATGCTCATATGATGACGAGGACCCTCCAGGACTACGCGCGAGGGATCACGGACCCACGTAAGCGACCACGTTCATTGTCGGGCGCACATGGAGTATTTACTGATCCCCTTCGCAGCGCAGGCGAACCATAGCACTCTGGTCGATGAGCTCGACACCGAATTCAAGCGCAAGTACCCGTCCGACCCTCTTGGTCGCGAGATGGACGACGGCGCGCGTGTCTGGAAGGTTTACCGCGACGAAGCGATGGCATACGATACGACGATGCTGGACGGGTGGAGCCAGACCCTCGACATTCTTCTACTCTTCGTGCGTCACTTTTTTGCACATCATTGCGCCTCGTCTCATGATGAACAGGCGGGTCTGTTCTCAGCCGTAGCGACGGCCTTCGTCATCGAGAGCTATAAGCTTCTACAGCCAGACAACGAGGCGTTCATGGTTTCCGCGCTCTACATCATCGCGACGGCGAGCAACCGCTCAGCCGCCGCGACGCTTCCCGTTCCAGCTGCGCTTAATCCGTCCACGTCAACGTTGCCGCGGTGGATCAACGGGCTGTGGTTCACCAGCATCCTCCTCTCTCTCGCAGTCGCGTTCTTGACTATCTTGGTCAAACAGTGGATCACGGAGTATCGCGCGCGTAACAACGCCTCCGTTAAAAGCCCGCGCGACTGGGCCCGACGACACCAGGCCTACTTCCAGGCATTGAACGCTTGGCCAGTCGCGGAACTGGTATCTGTGCTTCCTGTTCTCCTTCATCTCGCTCTATTCCTCTTCTTTACTGGCGTGGTCGCCTTTCTCTGGAACCTGGATCATGCGATCGGCGTCTGGGTCGTCTTGATGGGCTCGTCCTTGACGGTGTTCTATATCTGTTCTACGCTCGTGCCGCTGTGGATTCCAGACTGTCCAACATCGACACCCTTTGTCCACGTGTTGAATCGAGGGGTACTGGCGCTGAAGCTCGTAGTTTTCCGGACGGCGCTGCTTGCGCTTCTGCAGCTCTCACACATCTCACGGGTCATGCGCCGTGCCCTGAGTAGAGGCAACGTCCAGCCAAATACAGATGAACCATGGGTGGAGTTGTCTGGCCGATCGATTCCCTCTCTACCAATCTCGATATCCTACCACAACCCGCACCCGAGTCTTTTCCGAAGATTGAGGGCGTCCATCACTCGGCCTGCACAGAGAAGTGCGGAGGCTGTGCAAACGTCGCGGTTCCTAGACAAGGCCTACGACGAACTCGATGCCTCGGCTCTGAGGTGGTTGATATTGTCTGGTTCCGACAGCGATGCTGCAGCTGTCGGCCTGCAAGCCTTAGGCGCACTACATCCCGAGTCTCGCACTGTTGACCTTTTGCGGAAAAATCCCATCCTCATGGAGTTCACAGCGCCACAAGCGACTATACGTTCTGCGTCTGCGCCTTGTTCAGTGGAGATTCTCCGTGTAACCCGCAGCTTGTTCTCCCTGAAGTCGCCTTTCTTTGGCCAGCGGGTCAGTAACTCTGACGTGTCTTTCCTCATGGACAGGGACGACCCTGCATCTACGCTATTGACTGCAACACTGGGAGAGAACCCCCCAATCGCTAGAGCGAATGCCACGATCTGGAGGAATACTCTCCCATCTATGGGATCCACTGCCATGCTGCTCCTTCGCTCGGACTCTGGGGGACATTGGTGGACCTTTCAAATCCTTCTATATTGCCGTTGGGAGGAAATCGGTGACTCGGATTGGGAATTTATCCTCCAACGAATCGCCGCCAACGAAGGCACTGTACGTGGTAAAGCGTATATACGCACCCGTTCGTCTTCGGCGCCAATGATATGGACGGTATGCGACGTCTTGGCACAGTTGATCAAGTGGAAACTGGCACGACACGACAGCAAAGCTCTCGTAGAATTTGCATCTGAACTCATATTTCACATGCTTCCAGTTGCGGCTCGCGTCTTGGCTCAAGTGGAAACTGGCACGACACGACAGCAAAGCTCTCGTAGAATTTGCATCTGAACTCATATTTCACATGCTTCCAGTTGCGGCTCGCATAAAGAAGCGACATAAATGCGACATTTTCCCCTTTCTTTTGGACTACATTGTCTCGTCGCATTTGCTTTCTCGGGTCGTTGATATGCGGGACCTGGTGGATATCATGCAGGCACTCGTATCTATGTGGCACAATGGTGTTCCTACGACTTGATCAGCAAATCAGCTCCGGAACGCTGTCTTCGATGCAATGAGCTCAGCCATATGGACGGACGCTGCGGTGATGTCCTTCTTCATTCGGTTTTATGAGTGGGTCCTGTACACGGTGTTGCAACCGCCTGCAGGTCCTGCATCTGGTCTCCACAGTCGCGATGCTGAGATTGCCATTATTATCAAGTCAATGCTTCACCCACGCTTTGACCCACGCATACCCCTGACCAAATCATTCTGGGCTACTCTCACTGAGGGGCGGGAACTATATCCCGATTCTTGGTCTATTGACTGGATCGATTTTGGGGAGAGCCTTGCACGCGTACTTTTCATGGGCCGGGGCCTCTACTACGACGAAAGCGATATTGCAGGCTTTTTCGCCGGACTTTCCCTTCGAGACGTCATTGGCGAGCCAGATCCCGACAGATGGTATCTGAACAGACGCTTTCATCTCCTCCAACATTGTATCTCGCTCAACCCTGAGTGGTGGGTGGAGGGGGTCATGAATTTAGAACACGGCTCGGACGATGCTATGATATCTGTGGTCAGGCAACTCGAGCGCATGCTCGTAAACCGAGGTCCACGGTGTTCTTGCGCAGGCCGTCCACTACGGCAAGTTCAGGATCTTCACGTCGAGACATCTACGGAAATCCCGCTCTGATTCATGATACTTCCATGGACCTGCGTATGTTCACGTCCTTCGCCTACCGGCTCCGTATTGCTGCTGATCTGTTACAGACTCCACATACTCAAACGCCAGCCCGTTTACCATCATCGCACTTTTTGGTTGGTGTTCATCTGAAGTTCGTGACCCGCGGGCGCGGGGTTCGCTGTTTCCTCGGGGTGGCCTACAACGTGACCCCGCTCAATGGGCGTTTCTTTCATGCAACTCAACGTCTCGCGCCGGACAGAATTCACTGTGTGTATTTCGTTACGGACAACACGAGCGTGGTGCTACAGCGAGCAAGGGAAGGTCGAAAGTCGAAGACGAACGAAGGATGAACGAAACAAAGAACAAGGTTAATGGCGAAGACGAAGTAGTATATGAACGTGCTAAACGCAGACCTCCGTCAGATAGTAGAACATGACGCGACGAGTCACGAGAGGGACGTACCCGCAACTCAGACGACGACGCAGTAGCCCGTCGAGCTACCACCGTTCTCGCCATCGACAGGCACTTCTCCGATCATCACCTCAGCGTCGGAGCTGTTAGTAGCATTGGCGAAGAAGCGTGCGAAGGCGTCCATGAGTGTCGAGTTGAGCGGCGAAGATGGAATGGAACAACTCGTCCCTCTCCCCCAGTGCGCCTTATATATTCGCGAGTCTCCCTTGTTCGCTATTATGAATCAACGCGTTGTTCAGGAGATGAATGAATTACTGCAGCACGATGGAACTCTGATCGCTGATCCGCCTTGTACTCGGCGCAGGGATCTCGCGGCGGCGCACGGTCAAACAAGACCGCAATTCATTTCTCACCGCCACCGCAATGAGACATGCATGGTGAAGATGGACCATCTGAGGTGTCGCCCTGCGTGAAGCTCTTATGTCCTCAGCCTACTGCGAGCACACGTCGAGAGAGATTCTAGCCCGAATGATTGCGCGGATGTAGGGCGTCACGAATGTACCCCAGAAGCACCATGTGGACGATGAATCTGTCAGCAACTTCGCAAGTGCGCGGGTGTGAATGAAGCCGTACACACGTTTGCGTCTGCTTTAGTGGTCGTAGCGGAAAAGACGCGGCCTCGATCGCTCATTTGCATCTCCGGCACCCTCCGACTCGATGTTCGCGGCTCAAAAAATGGGCACCAGACCTCGACCTGCGCACCACGACTAAAATTATGCACCCTTGGGGGCGACAAAAGGCAAGGGGCTGAACCGGGAATTGAACCCGGGACCTCGCGCATTTCAGAGCGGCTTAACACCGCGGACGAACGCCCGAAGCGCGAATCATACGACTAGACCATTCAGCCGATGAGATCCGGCTGACCTTGAAAGAATATCATAGACTGTCGTTCCGTAGGCCTCTGGTGTGCACATAAGGTGCTGAGGGCGCGCGGGATCCGGCAGAAGAGAATGCGGAGGTCGCGGCGATTGCTGCACGGTAGCCCACTCCGCGGCGTTTCCCACAAGACGGTCGCCCTACAGCCATGCGCCATCCGCGTCGAATCTACCCGCACGCCTTCGAAGATGCTCTCGCTGTTGGTGGCGATGACAGTTCGCGTGCCGTCAGGACGAATCAAGTTACGGGTAGCTCGGCGCCGTATACTCGTGTGCTCGGGTGCGCCGACAGCCTCAGAGGACAACCCCGCCGCGGCGCTGTGACGTGCCCTGTTCCAGCCACGCGCTCGTGTAGACAAGCGTGGTCCATTTTCGTCACGGTCAAGGTAGCGCGTAAATCTATTGCCGCCTGACTCGACGCGCTGGAGGAAGGGTCCTGCAAGCGAACGTCCTGTGCCCGTGGAAGACATTGACGAGGGCAGTTGGGTAAGACATCGACTGAACGAAATCTGCATTCGTGATACGACTGCCGCCCTTCAACGCGCCAGAGGAATCGCGGTGTAGTTGACGCGGTAGAGCGGGTTGCTTGATAGTGTTCGAGCGAGCGCCGGTCCTTACACGCAGATGCGTCAGTTGAGTCTCGACCACTCCACTTGGTTTCGAAGCACGCAAAGACGAGTCCGTACGCGTTGCAGCGTCGACGTAGATGTCTACAAGCGGCGGCGGCAGACTGTCCGACTCGATAGACCCGGTTGCTGCTGTCGTCGTCCTAGATATATGGCCGGCGTGGACGGCTCATATGCCAAATGACTCTAATAAGAGACGAACCAAATCCAAATACGCCGTGCAAAAAGGCGACACTGGAACCGCGAGAAACGCAGATATGCCTATTCTTCTCGTCGCAGCGTTATCCGCACACCATACGATGGTGCGTCCAAAGGTGGCCGGTCGTCCTACGAGCCCACATGAGCGACTCGAGACTCTGACGAACAGGTCCGGTTGACAACGACGGCGTTGTGAACATCGAAGGCCATGCCTTCGTCTGTAGATTCCCGACATGCGTGCTAGATACGAACGTCGCTGCACATCCTGTGTGGCCGGTAGATGCACGCCACTCCATCCTTGAGCTGGTCGCCGTCATACAAGAAGTAGTTGGCGAGGACACAGTCATGATCAGTCATAGTTGCCAGACAACGTATGTGGAGGGAAGCAAACTGCGGAACATGCCGCACCAACTCCAAGTCTCGAGCTTAGGCACTGCGAGCAAAGTGGGTAATTTTCCCTCCCGCATACAGCGTGCACTATGTGTGTGACTATGTGTGTGAGGATCTCAACAGACTCCCTGTTCACAGTGGCCAGCATTCACGTCGGGGACCCCTTCTGCGACTTTACGTCAGTCTCTGGAGGCGCCGTTGAGCTTCTACGGCCAAAAGAAGGCGGTTTCTCTGAGATTCAATGTCTATTATTTGAGTACTTGGGACTCATATACTGAAGAAACGCCAGATCGTGTGATTTCAGTGCACTAATGCTCGTAATATTCATATTAGTACTCCTTACGTCCACGAGTGCGACTTCCCCTTCAATTTGCTGTGAATCAGCACTGCTCCTATTATTCTAGTATGTATCCAGCTATTCTGGAGTCATAATGAACCGCAGAGAATCGTCTTTCAAGCAGCCTCCGGTACACATTCATCCTTGCAGGGGAAGATCACGCCGACTCCTACGTCCGCAATATTGACAGCATTACATCTACACTAGCCTTCGTCTTTATTGCAGTCACAGTCATGCATAGTAGTACATCGATCGCAGTACATTTGCCGTGCGCATCCGTCCGAGTCCGAGATACACTCACATCATCAGACCAGAAACAACTCCCAATTCAGCATCACGATCAGTCTGAGCGCCTCGGGTCAGAACGGCGAGAGAGGAAAACGCACAATGCTTACATCGTTCGCTGCTTCCTTCGCGAGCGCATCACATCGCGCATTCCACTCGCGCGGAATGCGCCAAAAGAGAATGCTGAGCTGCGCCTCGTCTGCGATACGCAGCTCGTTCCTCAACGCCTCCCACAGGTCCCTGTTCGCAACAGGGGACCCATTCGCGGTGCGCCAGTCACGTGCAATCCACGTGTCGATCCTGCCGCAGGCGCCCTCGACGACGTACTCGCTGTCCGTGGCGATAACGATACGATCCGCGCCGCCAGCTTCCCACATTCGAAGCTGCAGGAAAAAGAGCACCGCCCGCAGCTCGGCGCGGTTGCTCGTCTGCTCCGATCCCCCAACCGTACCCTCCAGCGCAAGCTTCTGCCCGGGCTTCGAGTCGCAGTATACGAACGCGCACCCGCCACGTCGGCGATGCGCGGTGGACAGATCGCCTTGATCGAGACAGGCGCCGTCGATATAAACGAGCATCGTGCGATCGTCGTCCTTGTGGAAGTAGCGCGGAAACCGGTTGATGCTGAAGTCCTTGCGCTCGTGGAACAGATCTGACGGACGCGTCTGCTCGGTTGGGGGAACGAAACGTCTAGGAGAGTCCGAGCGCGTCATGCTAGCGATCAAAGATCTGCTGCTGGGTCGCTGAACCCCAGGCGGGCCCATTGGCCGTTGGCCTTTGGGCAGTGCTTGGTGGCCGAGGCGCAAAAGCGGGTTGTCAGACGTGCCATCGTTCCCAGTACGAGTCGTAAATCCGTCAGGGATGTCAGAGGAAACGACGCCAGGCATTGTGGCGAATGCTGGCCAAAGGAAACAGCAGTTCGGCTCGGCCCGCCGCAAGACCGATGTCACACCTCCAGACACTTCCTGCTTTCCTAATCCCGTGTTGCGTTGAGTACTATCTCATCTATCATTGCACTAGATGAGCATCCGAAGTGTGAGGCATACGACAACACCGCGTGCGCTGTCGCTCCTCCGATGGATGGGCAGTTCACTGCCTCCTCGGGTGTTGCTCTCCAGCGTGCTGCTGCGAAGGTTTAGAATAATCGTGCGTCGTTGGAACACAGCATCTTGCGCCAAGGAATCGACGTTCCATACATGAAGAATACAGGGAGCAAATGCATACAGTAGAGTACACCAATAATCGCGGTCGTCCTCGTCCGGCTACAACAAGAAGGTATTGTACATTAGTCGCACGCGCGTTGGCTCACATCATCATTCCATGTACTACAGCCGGACGGGGCATACGGCTCGTCTGATCATGCGAATCAGTACAGAGTGAGATCACAAAGTGTAGAACGCTTACTTCGTTGGCCGCTTCCTTCGCGAGGGCGTCGCATTTCGTGTTCCACTCGCGCGGAATGCGCCAGAAGAGAATATTCAGCTGCGCCTCTTCGGCAGTACGAAGTTCGTGGTTTAGTGCCTCCCAAAGGTCTTTGTTCGCGACGTGGGAACCGGCCGCGGTGCGCCAGTCGCGCGCAATCCACGTGTCCAGCCTGCCGCAGGCACCCTCGACGACGTATTCGCTATCCGTCGCAATGACGATCCTGTCTGCGCCGCCGGCCTCCCACACGCGAAGCTGGAGGAAGAAGAGGACAGCACGTAGTTCGGCACGGTTGCTAGTCTGCTCTGGTCCGCCGACGGTGCCCTCCAACGCAAGCTTCTGTCCAGGCTTCGAGTCGCAATACACAAACGCGCAGCCCGCACGACGACGGTGCGCAACGGCCAGATCTCCCTGGTCGAGACAGGAGCCGTCGGTGTAGACAAGCATCGTACGGTCGTCGTCCTTGTGGAAGAAACGCGGAAACTGGTTGATACTAAAGTCCTCGCGCTCGCGGAAGAGATCACTTGGACGCGTCTGGTCATTGGGCGGGAGGAAGCGTCGAGGAGAGTCCGGGCGCGTCATGTACGCGATTAGGGAGCTGTTGCTCGGCCGCTGAATCCCAGGCTCGCCAAACGGCCGCGACGACTTCTGTACGTGACGATGGCCAATGCGCAGAAGCGGATTTGTCGGTGATACGTCCATGATACTAGTCGTAGATCTGCGGGACGAACGGTACCAGGCTGGCGATGGATATGCTGGACAAAGGAAAGGCACAGTCGGATTTCACCGGCCGCTTAAATGCGAGCGCCCCTCGGGTCCGGGTCGCCAAGTCCGCCCAACGACAGGCACGAAACAGCTGCCGTCATTCTGAGCTCACGCAGAACTCAATGTAGTGGTACTCGTGCAAGGTATAGGGGTGTCCGAAACATAGTGATATTCATGTTCCGGTCGAATACATATTACGGTAAAACGTGGGACGCATCCGCTTTAGCGGCACGAGCAGAAGTTCACGTCGAGGTTCGCCGAGTTGCCGTTATAGTTCCTGGTAACGGAAGTCAATATACTGCTTTCAAATCACCTAATAGACGCACCAGTTGTACGTCCCGCCATTCTTGTGACCGGCGCACTGGTCAATGATGTCGGCGAAGCCGTTCCAGCACGCATCGGGCGAGTCAAAGTGACCATTGACCGAGACCTGCGCGTTACCCCACCCGCCACTGTTCGAGTACGACCACCTGTGGATGCATTTAGAACTGCCGGCGCACGGGGAGTGTGGCACTGACTTGTCAGAGCCGCACCAGGCCGAGCGAGCGGCGTAGAGCGAATCGCGGTTCTCGCAGTTGTTGCACCCGCCGTCGCTGTAGCAGCTCGCAGCGAAGGCAGAGACAGCAAAGAGGAGGAAGCTGAAGGTGCGCATGGCGATTATAGTAGATGAGAGAGGTTGAGTTGAGCGATGTAAAGGTGATGAGTAGTCGTTGTTCTGAATATGGAACGTACAAGATATCCCGGTATATATACTACTACTACAGTACTCTGCCACTGGACATCTGTGACCATGTATGAGGTATAGGTGGCCGTTCCTACGCTCTTGAAGTGGAGTAGCAGGCAGTGAAAGTGCTAGCGCTCAGTGCAGGCGCATGACGTATGATCTCAAACCCCTGAAGGTATGAGAATGTCCTTGCCTGAGACATGCACTGTCAGTATCTCCCCCAGCGTA